TCCCGAGTCTGGCTTTCTACAGTGACCAAACTGGGTAGATAGTTACCACTAACATTGGATTATTTTCCATTGTTCCTTGTGGATCAGAAATAAAAACCCTCATTTAGTGGCAACTCTTCAAAAGCATTTCTCAAGTGTCATGATCAACACTCAATCATTATGTAGTGCGTACTGAATCTCAAATAAAATCAGCCTTTGAAGGCAAAGAAAGCCTACATTTTATGTTCCATAGCTAATGAAGACAAAATTCAAGGTTTGTACATTGATGGTGAGTACAAAGGCTACGATAAAACAATAGCCTCACTCTTCTGAGACAACACTGATGCTTCTGTTGCATTTCACATGACTTCTGGAGATTGAACCAAATTGATGAATAATGAATTTCCGTTAATGGTGCAAAACAGCAAAGCTATTCACTTCATTCTAGTGTAGCTTGTTATATTTTCCAGGCTTTAAAAAAAAACAAGAGATAACGTCTCTATGTGTCCTGTGTGACATATTCATATATCATTAAAAAAAAAACACACTCATAGATGATGCTTTGTACATGAAAGATGAAGGTCCTAAAATTCTTACCAGTAAGTGGTGGGTTTTCAATTGAGCATCCTTCAAGATTGAGGAATTCAAAAATAGTGAAATAGAATGAACCTATTGGGCACTAGTGAATTGTGTGTAAGTTATGGATTAGCTTTTAAGAATTTGTATTGGGGAAACTGAATGGAATATTTCTTCATTCAAGGAGTGTTTATAGAGCCCCCATGAGGAGAGACTGTACTGTATGTACTCTAAAACAAAAGATATAGAATTACTACCACAGCTATGATTCTGCCTATCAGTAAAAGCAAGGATAAGTAAGGGTGCAAACAGAGCTTTTACCATACATAAATGAGCAAAGAATAAAATTGCTATTTGTAAAAATCAAAAACAAAAACCAAACAAACCTTAAATAAATAAGGACACAGAAGCTATCTTCAATTGATAATCACTCACAAATGAAAACTTACTTTTCTCCAATGGAGTCTGACTGGGATACATACCACTTAAGGGTAGACTATACACCCAGTGGTAAAGGGCCAACACAAAACAAACTCAAGGGTATCTTTAAAGGTTCTTCGTCTCATAATGTTTTGTCAGTGTTTTTTTTTTTTTTTCTTTCAGTAGTGGTCCTCTTTGTGTATGTATTATGACATATTTTTGGGAATTTATGGGATTCTTATGTTTGTGTGTATTGTTTATATAATGTTTCTTGTGCTTTTTCTTTGGCTCTTTTTCTTCTGTTTGTTTTTTCCTCAGTATGATTTGTTTGTTTTGGCTTACCTTACTTTATTATTAATCTTTAGATGATTTTGTTTTCTGTCCCTAAGGATGGACAGAAAGTGAGTGAGTACAGATGGGAAGAGAGCTTGAGAGAATCTCAGGGGAGTTGAAGGAGGGGAAACCTTAATCAGAATATTTTCTATGGAAAACAAAACTATGTTAAGTAAAAGAAAAGGAGAAAAATAATAGAATGTTGGAACAGCAAAGAATATTTTGGCAGCAGATAACTAGAAGCATCCTAATTGTCTAATTCTCACTGCTACAATCCCTGAGATCACAATGTTTCCAAAATATGCATCACTGATACACAACAAGATCCATCTCATCGTTCAGGATCTTACCTACTACAGCTTTATCAGTACATGGCTTTCCTACTTAACCTGTATTTTTAAAAATATTTTATCTTTTTTATTATTTCATCAAAGCTTTAGCTCTGAATTTATTGTCTCCCAAAAGACATTTACTAATGACGTGTAATTGTTTTTTTAAGTCTTCTTCCATCAACTTACCCCCCACCCCCCCCGCGCAGTATTTAATCATGGATCTTCTACTACATTGTGTCCTCTTGTTAGAATTGCTTTTATCTTCATAAAAAAAAAGGTTCACAAGAAAGGTGATGTTGTTCTCAGTCTAATAATCATTAGTATCTAATATTGCATTTAGTGTCTCAGTAAAGAGCTTGGATGCAAAGGCAAATGTTGTTTCTGAGTAGGAAAGTTCACTGCAGTGGAAGACAGTGATTCTTTCCAATAAGTAATAATGAACATGCAATGAATATTTGTTTAGTTAAGGATAGCAGGAAACAATAAGGTTTGTATTGCCACAAAATAAAGGAGTTAATTTCCAAAGGAGAGAAGGTGATATGGTTAGTGAAGGAAGGTGAAAATTGAAAGAGATTTGGGGTCCTGGCTTTGAGAAATGACTATAATACAAGTGATTTCTTTGTGTTATAAGGGAATCTGTGGAAATAATAAAATTTAAAAACTAAAATTTAAAAACATGGTCTTGAATGCAGCTTTTGATTCTGAAAAGATTAGAGTTATAAAGAGAAGAAGATAAAGAATGTTACTGTGTGCACCCAGAGGCAGGAAGAAATCAAATGTTTACTTAATCGCCTCTCTCTCTCTCTCTCTCTCTCTCTCTCTCTCTCTCTCTCTCTCTCTCTTTCTTTATTATCTATCTATATTTGCATGTGAAAATAATATGATGTCTCTACAAACTAAAATATTTTAAAAGAAGAATGCTGGGATTCTTGATGTGACTTCTACTTCATTTAAAAAGAGCACAATGTGATTTTGCAGCAATATTTATCATATACAGAGTTTTATTCATGACCTACACTAAACTAAGTTTATACTGTGATTTTTGCTTTTAATTTGTTATGAGTTATTTATAAAGAACTTCACTCTTCAGATAACATTAATCTTTCTTTAGGCCAAATTTTGTTAACTAGACAATAATTAATTGTTTGATTGCTTGTATTTTCTATGCACATTATTATCTCCCTCTAAATCCTAATCTTCAGCTTGGGGATACAGTTCAATTGGCAGAGTGCTTGTCTACCTGGCACTAAGTCCATCATCATGTATATTATGCATGTGAAGCACACCTGAATTCCACAGCTAGGGATGTGGAGATAGGAGGTTCTGAAATTCAAAGTTATATTTAGCTACATGGGAATTTTGAGGCCAGTCTGAAACATACATGAGTTAGCAGCTCAAAATCTACAACTCACAGCACTAAAGACAATAATATCACATAATAAAGAGAACTACAATGATAACATACCAAGTTCCCTTATTGAAATTCACAAAGGAAACCAACTATTGGTTAGCTTGATAATTTATTGATTGTATTATGGGCCATGAAACTATGACCTTTAAACTATGGAGTCTACCATTTGTTTTTGTCAATAAAATTGTATTAGTACACAGTGCACAAATTTGTCTACGTGTCATCCATGGCTACTTTCACATATACAGTGCAGTTATGTAATATAAGCAGGAACCATGGTATAGCTCATTGTAGCATGAATCTTAAAAGTTCTTATTAATGAAATCAAACCCGAGGCCAGTTATTGGGGTGAACACTGGAAGATCAGAGAGACAGAACAAACCACAGCTATCTCACCTCGCCGGATCCTCAGCTGGTCTTGTCTCCTCAGACTGGAGGCCTCTGAGTCCTCATCCAAAATGGGTCTCAGCTGAACTGCTGCTCGAAAGCCTGAAGCTTAACCAGCCAAATGCTTAACCAGCCAAATGCTTCTAGTTTCTGGTCCTCATGCCTTATATACCTTTCTGCTTTCTACCATCACTCCCTAGGATTAAAGGCTTACTTCCTGGGATTAAAGGCGTGAGTCACCATGCCTGGCTGTTTCCAATGTGGCCTTAAACTCACAGAGATCCCAGATGGATTTCTGTCTATGGAATGCTAGGATTAAAGGTGTGTGCTATCACTGCCTAACTAGTGGCTTTTCTGTTCCCTGACCCCAGATAAGTTTATTAAGGTACACAATATTTTGGGGAACACAATACCACCACAGCTCATATGACAGGAACTTATCTTATGAATTCCAGAAGAAAATGTTGCATTTACTTTATAACTTTGCATATCAACAGTACCACTAAGTATTAACCATTAAGCTATGCTTTAAATATCTGTGCCACAGTTACTTTTTTATTACTGTGCTGAGACATCATGATCAAGGGAACTTGTAGAAGAAAGAATTTTGTGCTTAGTTTCAGAGGGTGAGTCCATGAACATCATATCAGGAGAGTCGACAACAATCAGGCAAGCATGGTGATAGAGGAGTGACTGAGAGTTTGCATCCTCATCCAAAAATAGAGGGCAGAGAAAGTTAGCTGAGACTACAATAGGGTTTTGAAATCTCAAAGCCCAAGCCCAGTTCCACACTTTCCTCAAGGCCACATCCCCTAAGCTTTCAAAAACAGTTCTACCCTCTGGGGAAGAAGCACACAAGTATGTGGGCCCAGGGGCTCATCCTCACTTAAACCATCACATTCCACTCCCTGGCCCCCATAGACTTGCAGCCATATTATAATACAAATTGCATTTAGTTCAAATTCAGAAGTCCCCAAAGGTCTTCACAGTCTCAAGACAGTTTAAAACTCCAAAGTCTAAGTTTCTTCTGAGACTCAAGGCAATCTCTTGATTATAATTATCTGTGTGGTTAAATTTTATTTGTGCACCCCAATAAAGCTTACCTGAGGATCAGAGTTCAAAGCCAGCCATTATATTAAACATAGAGATCAGGCAGTGTGGCACATGCCCTAAATCCTAGCATTAGGGAGGCAGAGATTCATTCAGATCTCTGTGAGTTCAGGACCACACTGGGAACAGAACCAGGTGTGGTGGCACATGCCTTTAATCCAAGCAGTAGTGAACCATAGAGGTCTGGATTTGTACAGACAGACAGGAAGTGATAGAGATGGCCAGACAGAGGGAAATGATGTAGCTGGGAGGAGAGAGGAAGTGAGATCACAGGGACAGAAAGACATATAGGTGTGGGTATATAGGAAATAGGTATTTCTTGGGCTGAGGATTTCCTAGTGTAACTTATGGTTGTGGCTTGTTCTGTTCCTCTGATTTCTCAGCTTTCCCTCCAATATCTGGCTCTGGGTTTTTTTTATTAATAAGACCATTTAGCAATTCATCTTACATACCTATAAAATAAAAAAAAATAAAAATAACGTATTTCCAGCGTACGATGGCCCAGAATATACATGACTTTCTCAAAGGGAGGAGCACTTGTGTAGAGAGAAAACACTAGGCCCAAACAAAACCAAAACCCAACAATGAAAACTCCAAATCCTGCAGTTCCATGTCCATCGTCAAAGGGATTAAATGGCTCTTCCTTTCCAGATGTGCTGACTGTAACTTCTGTCTCTTGGGCTAGTTTTCAGGTGGGCTGTTTTCAGCTCTCCCTGGCAAACATTCCATGGATCTGGCACCTCCAAATTTCTGGGGTCTTCAACACAATCTCAGCTTTACTGTCACATCTCATGAAATGACCTCTCTGTGCCTCCATGCAGGGACTAGTCTGTCACATGATGAGTCTCTCCTTAACCACAGAGGAATATTCCATGATTCCATGTTCCAAGATAGAACAATGTGACTGATGCTGCCAAGGCTGGCTGCCTGTTTGGTAAGGAATCTGGCCTCCTCTTTGGATTACATTTCCATAGGCTGTGATTTGCTATTGTTTTTAAGAACATAAAATTCTTTAGGACTTTTCCTTTTACAGGATTAGTTGGGTGGGTTCTTGCCCTAAGGACATCATTTCCTTTATTCCATTCTATTTCAGGCCTCTCCTTATCTTTTTTAGTACAAGCCTTATTTACAGTACTAAATTTCCCAATTTTCTCTTTCTTTTTAAACTACATCACATGATAGAGTCAATCAAATCTCCTGTCTTAAAATCTCCTCAGCCAAGGAAATTACTCTCAAACTCTTCAATTTTGTCTAAGGTAGATTCTTAGGAATAAGACAAATTTGTAGTAAGCACAGGTAAGCGTAATTCTCACACCCTCATCAAGGAAGCTATTTTGCAATAGGTAGAGACTATTATAGAGACCCACAACTGGCCAAGATGCAGAGGATAAATGACCATGAGGTTCCCAACCACACCCCAATTGGTCCATCTACAAGACAAGCCCATTACATAATGTGTAGTCAAACATTGCAGAAGAAAGAACAGAAAGACACTAAGAGACAGAGACCAGAACTTCCTATGACACTGTGACGTAGTGTCTTCTATACATGACAGGAAAGCTGTCCACATGATATCTCATCAACATGGATGCCTGAAAAGCTCTGCAAAATTACAACACCAGTTGACATAGCAATATAGATAGGGGAAGTTAGGGGTGACTGGAGAGAGAGAGAGAGAGAGGAAGCACCCATCCCATGTGACCATGCCTAAATACATGTACAGATGAACAACACTGAATAGATTAAGTAAGACACATTTGCACTAATCATAATGAAGCAGAGGTCATGAATTCAACTGTTAATGGGGACATGGATAGGCAGAGTTAGATGGAGAAGACAGAGGGGTGGAACTGTTGTAAATTCCATACTCATACATGAAATTATTAAAAATGAATAAATAACAAAAAACTCAGGAAAAGTGAGATGACTTAACTTGCTTAGGATTACACTTACGAATAAGTAATAAAATCTGACTACAACTCTGTACTGAAACAATATAGAGATTAATCAGACTAGCCATTTAGTTAATTTAAGGACACCTACTCTCTTCTAAAAGAAAATTTAGATATATATTCCTTAAAAGCTAAGACATGTCTTCAAATATTAGCCTTATTTTTTTTCCTGTCACAAGTGAGAGTATATGGACCAAATAATAGAATCTGAATAACTATCAATTTTCCTGAAGAATAACTTAGAAAGATTGCTTCAGGACATGAAAAAATTTTTTAGGTGTGATTGCTTTGAAATATGTATTTTACCTCCACCAAAGTTAGGAAATTAGACAAAATATTTTCCCACATTAAATTACAAAATAATTCTTTATTGCAATAACACCAACACAGTAATTGAATGGAGAAAATGAATTTATATATTGTTATAAACAATCTTGCTTTCGTAAAGCCTAAAACAAAATCTCAGCTTTTATTCATACTGCCTTCAAATTGTACACAGACAATCAAGAAATCAACAGAATAAATAAGAAAATATATTTAAAACATAGTGTGCCAGAGAGTCAAGAATTGTGGGAATTGCTAAGCAGATGCTTACCACAATACCACATTTATCCTTCCCATGACTATCCTTGAATAACGTGAAATTATCAACCTGTAAATCTAATGCAGCAAGATCTACTCTTCAAAGCAAGGCAAATGCCTGAATTTGTAATATCTACTCCATAATTAAAATACCAGGCAAACTCCTCAGTTAATGGACACATGTTTTTGAGCCTACAACTTACACAGTGGGAGTGAGAACAAAGGATCATGGCATGGTCAACACCCACAAGGAAACACATAACATTCAACTACTGCCAACAACTCTGCTGAAATTCAGAGCTTTAGTCTAAAGCATAGATCCTTCTGGAATATTATGAAAAGACAGGTAAAATGAGGGTCAGTGCAGGAGATGGCTCAGCTGGAAAAAGTGTTTGTCATGGAACCCTGAAGACCTGAGTTCCAATCCATGTGCAGGTGGAAGAGAAGAACTTACTCTACAATGTTGTCTTTGCCTTCCTCACATATAACTTGGCATACTGTGTTCAGATCATTCTTAAGCTCCCCTCTAATATTAAATAAAGTTAATTCTAAAGACAAAAGTAAATTTTATATACTTCCCTAGTAGATATTTCTAGATTCAGAGTATCTAAGCACATCTGGGGTATGAGGATTTATAATTCTTTCTCTCGATAACAAAAACATACAGACAAAATCATTCTTATTCTATTAAACTTATTATAAAACATTATAAAATGGCTAGTTATAAATAATTGCCATCTAAAAAGTTGCTTATTTGTATTCTATTGGCAATAGAAATGATACATTTACATTTTTGGCATAATATTGAAATTGGTGAATATAGATATGTATGATTTAATAAAAATATGAAAACAAAATGTGCATATTTGTTTATACTAAAGTAGCTTGAATTTTCAAAGTTTTAGGAACCATCAGTAGAACTTTAATTTTTGTTTTTTTCCTGGGCTTTAATTAACTATTGTATCGCCTGACATGGATGATAGTTTCTTGATCCCTTTTTTTAAAGAAAAATAATTATTAAAATGTTAAACATATGTTGGGCATTGTAACACACCCTTTTCATCCCAGCACTTGGGAAGAAGATCTTTGTGAGTTCAATCTACATAGTGAGCTCCAGTCCAGCTACTTAATAAGATGCTGTTATAGAGATTTAGAATTAAATAAGTTGTTTCAAGTACAATATTTTTAAAACTTTTAATTTCTCTAAAGATATACACAATCTTTTCTCCCTTTCATTTTGCACAAATCTTTCTGAGAAAGAAAAGTAATGATTCTCTAAAAACATGCTAATTAAAGGGCAACTGTTGTTGACACATCTTACAATACTTACATTTTTGCAGTTGCTAAGACCTGACTTAGTTTTCCAAGACGAAAAAAAATGTTTCATTAACATATAAATGAATATCTTTGGTATTGTAACAGGTTTCAGAACACACTTAACACTATTATAATTCTCCTACATTCCTGTATTTTTTTTTTCAATGATGTTTCTAGAGAAATGCTTCTGCTGTGGGTGGGGAGAAAAGGGAGCCTGCATAAAATCACTGGATTATACTATATTCTTGCTCCGATTCTAACAAATGGGACTCTTGACTATTGCTTATTATTTCCTGGTTTTTATATTTAAAAACTTTAAAAATTTTAACTGCTTTTAGGCCCTTGAGGATGCCATTAAATATAACTGAAAAGCAATTCAAAAATTCTATAAAGTTCAAAGGAAAAAAAGCCATCCCTGTGGTTGCTGTAATTTACATTTCTTAGATGAATAATACAACTCGATTCAATAATATATAACTTTTTCAAATATTTAAGTGTTTATTCAGTACTCAGAGCAATAAAAAAAATGGCTCTGCCCCTGGACCTAATAACATGACATGAAGATATTCAACATAATGAGTAACAAGATGGTGTCTCCCAATAAATTACCACAAATACGCTGCAATTTCAAGGCTGCTCTTGCCACCCTCAATGAGGAATCTGTTTATAATATCCCCAAAGTGTCTAAGGCATTGCAAGTGTATAAGCAGGAGGGGAAATAATGGGAAAGAAAATTGCTAAGCTTTAAAAAATCTTGTCTGTTAGGAAGATTGTATATGCATGATTCACATATAAAAATAAATTAAAGAAGTGTGTCTGTCCTCATACTTCCAGTGGCCTTTTATTTGGGTGGGGAGTGGCATTTTTGCTTAAAATTCAAACAAACTTCAGCACAAATAAAATATCATAAAACACAAATACTTAGGAAACAATGGTTAGACAAGCTGAATGTTTTAATTACAGCTACCAAATACTACTATTTTAGGGTCAAGAAAGGGAAGAAATGTCAGTTTTGGTACTCAGGCAGGCAAAAACTTTTTAATTCAAGTTCCAGCATGGTTCAAAGAACTGTGGAGTTGGAATGGGAGCTGTTCACCTGAACTCTAACCTTCAAGGTCATAGGAGTATTGGATAGGTCAAGACAGAGGACTTGGCTGTTGTTATGGCAGGTCCTCACATCGAGGTGCTGGAGGCTTGGCTCACTGCACAGCTCTGCCAGGCAGTTCATGAAATCCTGGCTAAAGACACCAATAGAAACAGAGCCATCTGTTGCTCTGACTTTCAAAGGCTTGTACTAAGTTGTCCAAAATTGAGAGTGGAGAAGAGAGTCAGAGAGCTAGAGACCTAGTCTAGGCCTCAAGGTCTTCACTGCTTCTCCAAGACAAAAAAAATCAAACTCTGCAAAGATTTAAAAAGAAATCCACATGACTTTGTAATTGCGTCCTGTTATGGGTGAATTTGACTTTAATCCTGGCTGGAACTTATTGTAAGGCTACATATTTTGTCCTTGCTTATTTTTCCTCCTTTACATGTTTGTCTAAAAAATATCAATGCTAACAATGTGATAAAATGATACCATGTTTCAGAGTAAAGGAGTACCAAATACAAAGTTGTCAGGTGAGATTCACAAGAATGAAGTCTCTTGTGGACAGTGTCATTTTACTCAACAATAAACTTGGTAAGTACCTTCAGTCATACAACCCTTCAAGTTAAAGGAACATCATACTGTTCTAAGACTTGCACAACAGTATGAATATCTTCCTTGTCACATTACTGTACACTCTTGACTAAAATTATTGTATCCCTAAACATATGTAAGGTCACATATTTACATTATAAAATATATCTTTCTTAAAAAGATAAGTTAAATTCCTGTGTTTTTATAGGGAATTTCCTCTAATAAATTCATATGTTTTTTTTTTTTTCTAATTTACTTACCACAATCAGTCCTTGACAGCAATATCTATGTTTTCTGGAAGAATTGCTTAG